CCAATGCAATACATCTCCTGAATTCCTGACTGCTGGTACCTAGAGTGTTGAGTGTTGATTGATCCAAGCAAGATGAAGTCATTGACAATTTCAGGCTATTATCCATCTGTAGTAATGTTCACCAATAGAACAGTGGTGAGGATCTCTGTCTTTTTGATGCATAGATATAATCCTTACTCAAGGCAATAGGCCATGATCTTCTGTAGCAAGAGTTTCCTTTCTGCAAACAAAGTTGTGTCATCACTATAACATGGGCTGTTGATGAATCTTCCTTCACATTTGATGCCACACTCTTCTTCATTGAGTCTAGCTCTGTTGTTCAGCATACAAATGGAATAGGTCTGGAGAAAGGATATAACCTTGACACACACCTTTCTTTATTTTCAGCACTGTTCCCTTGTTCTATTTGCACAACAGCCTCTAGGTCTTGGTATAGATTCTGCATGAGCACAATTCAGTGTTCTGGTATCCTCATCCTTCTCAGTGTGAACCATAAAGTCATTGTCTTTGCATAGTCACAAACACCTTTCTGATATTCTCTGCTTTCAGCCAGGATCCATCTGCTATCAGGAATGATATCTATGTGCTTCCTCCGCTTCTAAAACCAACTTGTACTTCTAGCAGTTCCCTGTCGATGGAGTATCCAAGGTGCTTCTGAATGCTTTTTAGTTAATATTTTGCTTGTATGAGATATTAAGAGTATCGTTTGATAGTTTCCAAAATTTTATTAAAGGAATTAAAAAATATTCCAGACATAAATAGAGAGAAGTGGAACTCACTATGATAATTCTACAAAGTGTGTCCTTATGAAGAAAAATGCATTATGTAACTATATTAATACTAGCATTAATATTGTCATAGTATTAGTAGTACTAATAGTATTTTTTAAGGATCTTATTGAAGGACTCAACATTATATTAAATGAAAGAATATGCTCAAGCCTCTTCTGGAATACAAACTCCAGGGTGAAAGTCTGCAACTGGTTGTCAAAAGATTGAAAGCTGGTAAAGACACTGTGTTGTTGTGTACCATGGAGTGGGAACTGACTGAAGGCTGACCTTTCAGCAAGTTTTCAGAGACTGTCAATTGCAAAACTTGGGAGCATCTGATGGTTTCAAACAGTACACTTTTGAGTTGTCAGTGTGATTGCTTATGACTGTTGTTGTTGTTGTTATGTGCCGTCGAGTCACCTGCAACTCATAGTGACCCTATGTACAACAGCCCTAAAGTCTGCCTTATCCTGTGCCAATCTCAGTGTCTCTGACACACCTACCTCAATTCCCTAGTTACTGAATGAATGCAGCTCATTGAGGGTCTTATCACTAGTCCATCAATAAAAGACAAAGATAGTGATAATTACTTTTTAATTTCACTTGTATCAGGGTTACAAACAAGACTACTGTAGAATATAAGTCTAGTGTTTGGAAACTATCTTGTGATATAAAAATGATTGGTACATTTTAGAACTGTGGACTATCTATGGAGACTTCAAGCTCTGAGAAATAAGAAAGTTGAAAAGTCATTGAGAGCTAAATTTCATCTTTTGTATATATGTTGTTAAAGATGATAAAACCCTAAAGGTAAGTATATTTGGAAACTTTGAAGCTTTGTCTAATCTGATGATTATTCTCATGAACTCCAAATAATGAGACTTAAAGGGCACATTTGTTGCTTTTAGAAGCTATAAAATGATGTCAATGATAATGTCTTAATATACAGGAACTTAATTATAAAGTAAGCATTACAAAGTTTCATTTTATTAATCTATATTCCTATAATTATTATAATTATTTTCAACCATTTCAAGCTTTGATGCTGGTCTATAAAAAGACTTTTCACTTCCAATTGCTTAGTTTGGAGATCATTTCTTATTTGTTTAAAAAGAATGGTTACAAATACAGATTTATCACACACCTCCCCTCAGACATTTCAAATTTTTATATGGCTATCATTTAACCAAGTATCCACTTTAAATTATAATGAGAAATGCAGAAAATCCCCATAAAGATGGACTCGGGTATCTTGGTAAATACAAAGGGTTTTAAATGTTTTTGTATAATTCAGTTTATTCTGAAATTTCTAAGGCTAATTGTTGTTGTTGTTGTTGTTATGTGCTGAAGAGTTAGAAGTCACCCACAGCTGATCCTTTAGTTGTTGTTGTTGTTATGTGTCATCGAGTCGACTATGACTATTTGCAACCCTATTCAAAATAGCTCTGAATCTTGTCTTATCCTGAGCCAAACTCACTGACACATCTACTCTTATTACACCAACCCCAGCTATTGTGTCAATCCATCTCATCTGGGGTCTTCCTCTCCTGTGCTGCCCTTTGACAAATCCAAGCATGATGTCCTTCTTCAAAGAGTGTTCCCTCCTGGCAGTATATCCAAAGTATGTGGGACAACATCTCAAAATCTTTGCCTCCAAAGAGCAGCTTGGTTCCACTCTCTCCAGGATAGACTTGTTACTTTTATTGGCAGTTCATGGTAGACTCAATGCTCTTCTCTAGCACCACAATTCAAAAGGATCAATTCTTCCTCTGTCATCCTTGGTTCAGCTCTCTTATGCATAGCAAGTAATGGCACAGACTATGGCCTGGATCAGGCACACCTTAGTCTCTAGAGTGACATTCTTGCTCTTCATTACTCTGGAGAGGTCACTGACAGCAGATTTCCGTAACACAATTCATTTTTTGATTTTCTGACTGCTAGTGCCAAGCGTGTTGATTATGAAACCAAGCAAGCTGAAATTGTTAACAATTTCAATCTCTTCTCCATCTATTATTATGCTGTCAATAGACCCAGTAATGAGAATCTTTATTATCTTGATATTAAGCTTCAATCCATATTGCTAATTACAGTCCTTGACTCTCTATACAGCAAATGGTTCAGGCCTTCCTCATTTTCAGCAAGTAAGATTGTGCTATAAGTATAGTATCGCTTACCCTAGTAAAAGCAATGTTGTGATTTCTTGAATATGGATAAAATGCTCCAAGTTGCATCCAGCGGGCACAGAGCTCATATTCTGAATTGTTGAAGAAGCCACAGATGTCCGCACCACTCTGAAACATATTGTCATATTTAATTAAATTTCAATTATTTGTTTCTAATTATTTATAAAATATGAACAAAGAAAATAGAAGTACTCACATATGATATTCCAAAAAGACTAAACTCCATCATACCTAAAATAAATGATAAGAAAATCTATAAAAGTTCTCATATATTTTAACATTTGTTTTTATTTATAGTTATGAAGATGCTGTATTTTAATATCAATATTTAAATCAATGAAATATTTTTGAGGTTAATATACTTTCTTTTTATAATATTAATAATTTTATTGATAAAACTAGGCCATTATAAATTTTTGTGATACTTGCTAAATGACACAGAGAACAAATACATTAAAAACACATTATGAGAAGAAAGTAGGACTGACTTTTCAGGTTTCATGTTTTTCAAAATAATGAGGTTGTCTCTGCAATTGTGTAACCAAATTTTTCATTTCTTGAACAAATGGAATTATTTTAATTAAATAAGATTCTCTAAAAATGAACATCTCAATGAAATGGAATGTATATTATTTCTCAGCTCTTCCTTTAAAAGGAAATTTTGTTTTCCTTGAATCCATTAAGCAATAATAGATATTTTACAAAGAGTCATGAAAAATATCTTTTATTCCTTTAAAATTACATACTTTCCTATCTGCTCAAACATTGTCTAAAGTCTGCTTCAAAATGTTAAATCTGTCATCCATTGATATATGTGATTACTATTTTCAGGAATTTAGAATTTCTGTCCATTTCTCTTTTTGAGTTATTTTCTTCCTCCACCCCAATCCTCTCCAACCACAGAACTGAGTGCAATGGGGATAAAATGATCTTTTCAAAATGGGCTAGTTAGATGTCATTAATTTCAACATCTCGACTCTTGACTCTGAGCACTGGGCAACTGCCTTTTCATGATGCAATGTTGTCGTAAACATGCCATGACAAAAACATAGCTTTGAGGTGAACTAATAAACATAGGAACTAATACCAACTGGCATTAATACTTAGTAGAAAATGCAGAAGTATGAAGATAAAGATGGTTACTCTTACATACCAATGATAGATTTGTCCAAGTTGGTCCACTCGGCATAGTTGTCCCCCAGCCAGTGTCCTGCCCATTGTCCAGCAGTAGGAAACGTGGAGCGGGAAATAACGATCCCTCTTTTCCCTGTCACTTTCTGCAGTGCACTAACATAGATGAATAAGAATCAATTAATTTGTGAAAGAGATATTTTCTTAAATATTCCGAATTATAATGTCAAAACTGTGTCAGATTTCTTCTTCATAATTTTATTTAAAGACTAGAAATGGAGCTTGAACCAATTAAGTAAAATATTTTACTCATAATTTTTATTTTGAATTTTTTTTTATTCTTTCACCAGCCTCAATTGTAGGATAGAGCAATGGTTTTTCTACTATTGTTGATCATTCTAATCCCTGTGGAATATCAGATGCTTGATTCCATATGAATCACATTGGCATTAATTATAAGTCTCTGGGTTTATCCAAGGGAACTGTTTTTGCCTAGTGGGTAGAGACTTGTGCTGCAGTACCAAAGGCACATGGTTCGAATCCACTATCTCCTTCTGAGTGGTCGACTGTCTCTGAAATCCCACTGAAGGGTCAGCTATAGTTTGATTCTAACTCAATGGCACAACACAGCGTGTCTATATGATTTGATTGAAGTCATCTAAATCTTAATTAAAAAACAGTGATCTGGATGTGCTGAATTGTTTAATATGGTGATCTAATTATCTTTAAATTTTAATTCATTAAGATAAAACAAAACAAATATTCTTTGCTGAGTATATTATTCTGTTGCTCAAGAACTACATATAACTAATAAGTACCAGGGTGATAGCCCAGAATAATTTAGAACGATTTTTTTTTGCTGTAAATTTTATTAAATGATGCTGATGAAGCTTCGAACAAAAAGAATGGTCTATGTTTCACCTGATTGTTAGAAATGCAGATCGTTTCTATGACGTTTAAAGACTGAGATGCTCAGGATAATTTGCAGATGTTCTACAATTTGCTCATAAATTACTTACATATTTCATTTTATGCCCACCCATGTTTATAGAAGCTATATTTACAATAGCAAAGATCTGGAAACAACTCAAGTGCCAATCAACAAATTAATGGCTAGAGAAGCTGTAGTATATTCACACAATGGAACACTACGCTGCATTAAAAAACAAGGAACTCATGAAATATGATGCAAAGTGGATGACCCTGGAGGGCATTACGCTGAGTGAAATATCTCAGTCACAAAAGGACAAATATTGCCTAGGGCCACTGTTGTAAAACAAGACTGACATCAGGGTTGAGGGAAGACAGAAAAGGAGGGGAGGAATGATGCATATTGCATTGAAACAGATGAGGGAAAGAACTGTTTAAAAGAGACATATGGATGGGTATTCTTGTCATTACAGAAGTCCAGCATGAAGGCTGCACAGTGGAGTTGAATTGGGGGAAGGGACTGCATAACAATTAAAGAGTTTTTCATTTTCTTTTCAAGGAGAAGAGTGATTGCGGGGAGGGGATGGGCAAGGAGAAAACTGTAACAATGAATGACTGGAAATCCTAAGTCTCTGTAAACTTTCATTCAAATTAATTTTAAAAAAAGAAGGAAAAATTATTTACATATTTCATTTTGAATGCTACTTACTCATAAGTAGGTTTTACTTGTGACCATCCATAGAGATTGTGGACATCATAGTGCAAAACGGAGGAGCCATCGCTAAGAATCTGCTCGGTTTCCATGCACATGGTTCTGAAGTGCAAGCCGTCAGTTCTTTTTGTGAGTTCTGTGGAGAATGAATAAGAACAAATTAATACAACATAAAGTTCCCTTTGTTGAAATATGTATTATTATCATTAGATGCCATTGAGTCAAGTGCAACTCACAGTCATTGAGTCAAGTGCAACTCGCAGTAACCCAATAAACAATAGATATGAACCCTATCGTATCCTGTGCCAACCTCACAGTCTCAGACATACTCGAGCCTATTGCTGGAGTCACTGTATCACTCCATCTACTTGAGGGTCTTTCTGTCTTCTGTCATCTCTCCATCTGTCCTTCTCCAAGGAATAGCCTCTCCTACAGCCCCATGCCCAAGATATGGGAGATGAAAGATGAAGCTTTGGCATTCTCCAAGACCTGTCTGTTCTTTTGACAGTCCATGGGATATTCAGTACTCTGCTCCAACACCACAACTCAATGGCTTTGATTTTCCTTCCGTCATCCTTATCTACTGTCCTGCTCTCGACACCCTAACAAATGGTTGAAAAGCCCATGATCTTGATCAGGTACACCATAGTCTGTAAAAAACATCACTGTTCCTAAGTAATTTGGAGAGATCCCTAACTCTTCAACCTGTAAAGCCTACATCTTTAGGATTATATTAAATTATATAATAATGAATTATCACAAAATAATAACATGATAACATAAAATACATGGCAATAACCTGGGAAATAAGGTGGGTAATTTAGTGACTCGTTTCTGCATTGATTAGTAGTTGTTCCATTTACAAAACTTGATGGTTCATTCATATCCTTCAAAAGAGAAAAGGAGAGAAAAGTAATAAATTACTCCAGAGCATAGGTGCTTTAAAAATTCCAAAATAAAACAATAAAAAAACAGCTTAGAGAATTTATAAATATAAGCAGCATATTTCGGTAACAATACACATTTGTTTATTTCTCTTTTACTGGTTTGTTTAACCTGAGGAGTCAGCCAGGGTCATTATTCCTAATTACCAAAAAGTAAAGAAGTTCAATTATACCAAGAAATTTAGTAAAGTTCTGTGTTTCTTAGCTTTTTTGGCATTTCAAGCTTTCTTTTAAAAAGAAAATATAAAATTGCCTGTTTTTCCTGCAGTGTGAATTTAATATGTAAAAGTGAGTTGTTTTTGTTTCTCAAACAGAAATGTAGTTAAAATAGCTTTAGATTCCTTGTTATATTAATCAGATAATTTACTCACTCTGGAAAACTGGAAGAGTTGCATATCTATTCCCATTCTCAAAAAAAAAAAGGTGATCCAACAGGACGTGAAAATTATTGAACAATATCATTTATATCACATGCAAGCATAGTCTTTCTGCAAGTTATCCAAAAGTGAATAGAACAGCACATCAATAGAGTACTGCCAGAAATACCAGCTGGATTTAGAAGAGGTCATGGCACTAGGAATATTATTGCCAATGTCAAATGGACCTTGGCTGAAAACAGAGAGTACCAGAAGGATATTTGTGTTTTATCGACAATGGAAAGGCATTTGACTGTGTGGATCACAACAAATCAAGGCTAACATTGAGAAGAATCCCAAAGCAGCTGATCATGTTTATGCAAAACCTAAACCTAGACCCGGAAGGTGTTGTCCGAACAAAGCAGGGAAACATTGCATGGTTCAAAATAAAGAAAGAAGTGAATCAGGTATGCATTATTTCGCCACGCTTTTTCCATCTTGTATATGGACTGGATCATTCAGGAGGCTGGACTTTATGTAGATTATGGAATCAAGATTGAAAGAAGACTTATCAACAACAGGCGTTATGTAGATGTCATAACCTTGATCACAAAAACTAAGGAAGGCTTGAGGTGTTGCCTGCAGAAGGTCAAGGACTGCAGCCTTCAATAGGAACTGAGACTCAACCCCAAGAAAATGAAGATTCTCCTCACTAGGCCAACTGGCAGTATCATGATAGATACAGAGAAGATTGAAGTTGTAAATAATTTCATGTTGCTCAGATCCACGATAACAGTTCTGGAATCAGCAGTCAGTAAGTCCAAAGACAATTTGTTTTAGGAAAGTCTACTCTCAGGGATCCTTCTGGAGTGTGAAATAGCAACTATGTCAGTCTAGAGACTAAGATAAGCCTGATCAAGGCCATGCTTTTCTCAATTTCTTGCTATTCTCTAAGACGAACCTGTATGTTCTCCTAGCTGTCCACGGTAGATTCAGTACTATTCTCCAACACCATAGCTCAAAGGCAGCAATTCTCCTTCTATCATCCCTAGTCATTGTCCAGCTTTCTGTTGCATAAAATATAATTGTGAAGACTATGGCATGGATCAGGCAAACCTTAATCTCCAGACTGACACCACTGTTCTCCAGTACTCTGAAGATGTCCCTGACAGCAGACTTTCCCAGTGCAATTTGTCTTTTGATTTCCTGGCTGCTGGTATCAAGAGTGTTGATTGTGGAATCAAGCAAACTAAAGCTATTAAGAATCTCTATCTCTTCATCATCTATCATGATGCTGCCAACTGGCACAGTGGTGAGAATCCTTGTTTTCTTGATATTGAGCTTTAATCCATATTGAAGGCTGCAGTCCTTGACTTTTGGAGCAAGTGCTTCATGTCCTCCTTAGTTCAAGCAGGCAAGGCTGTGTCATTTGCACTGCACATGTTGTTGATGAGTCTTCCACCAATTCTGATGCCACAATCCTCTGTAGAGAGCCCAGCCTCAGTTCGAGCAGGCAAGGCTGTGTCATTTGCACTGCACATGTTGTTGATGAGTCTTCCTCCAATCCTGATGCCACAATCCTCTGTAGAGAGGCCAGCCTCCCAAGATGATCTGTTCTGCATACAGATTAAAAACGTTTGGAGACGTTTTTACATACATTCCTGGCATACATGCTTTCCGATTTTAAACCATATCATATTTCCTTGCTCTGTTCTGATGACTGCCTCCTAGTCTGAATAATTGTTTCACAAAAGAACAATCAAGTATTTTGGGATTTCCATTCTTCTCAGAGTTAGTTATAGTTTGTAGAGATCCACAGTCAAATGCCTTTATGTGTGTGTGTGTGTGTGTGTGTTTATGTGTGTGTGTGTGTGTGTGTTGCTATATGCATATTTTCTTGTGGGGGATAATGGGTTACATTTTTTGCTATTTTAACACTATATGATGAAAAATTAAATCTTACTGCTACAACTTTAAAGTTTTATTGAAGAAAAAGAAGGTTTTTTAAATATTTTACAACTGTATTTGTGAAAATTGTTTCTTGCACATAAATAACATTTGCATGGTTGTACAGATTTATTTTTAATTCCGGTAAAAATAAAACCCATGTTTCTAAGTATTTAGGACTGGCTAGAAAGAGTCTACGTGGCTCTTTGGTCAAGTGAGAAGTTCCCAGAGTGCAATACCTATCCACATAAATGACACTGCTACAACTGTGTCAACAATCCTTAGAACAAGAAAGTTCTATGAGGAGAAAGAGAGATAATCTTCACAAAGAATATTTTGCTAAGTGTCCATCAACAAATGAAGGAATAAAGAAGCTGTGGTATATTCACACAGTGGAATACTATGCTGCATTGAAAAAAAGGAACTCATAAAATATACAAAATGGGTGACCCTGGTGGATATTATGCTGAGTGCAATGTCTCAGTCACAAAAGGACAAATACTGCATAGTGCCACTGTTGTAGAATGGGACTGACATTAAGGTTGGGGGAAGACTGAGAAAGATCAGATAAATTATGTATACTGCATTGAAACAGATGAGGGGAAAACTGTTTAAAAGGTATATATGATTAGGTATTATTGTCATGACAGGAGTCCAGAACAAAGGCTGCACAGTGGAGTGGTCTTGGGGGGGAGGGATTGAATAACAATGAGATAATTTTTCTTTTACTTTTCAAAGAGAAGAATGAACTGGAGGGGAGGGTTGGGCAGGGAGAAAAGTGCAACAGTGATTAAATGGAAATCCCACATCTCTAAATTTTCATTAAAATTCACAATAATAATGATAAATTTAAATAAAGGAAAAATATTTTGCTGATATGGCTATAGTCAAGTAAGAGTTTTGTAAACTCCCTTGACAATAAATAAATTAAAAGACACCTTTCTTAGAATTTACTTACAATCCACAATCCATCAAACTTCATTTGATTATTATAGAAATCTTCAATTTCTTTTTCCCACCACTCTGCTGTAGACCTTCTGAAGAAATCTGGGAAAGCTACATGTGCTCTAGAAGCCTGTAAAAACAAAATTTAAACTCAAAAACTTTATACTAGTGATCAGGGAGCCAACTTTAACTATGTGAATTCTTACATATTTTTTTTTTCTCCCCCGTCACTCAGTTTATGAAAGAATAATATCAGAGAAAAGACCCACACATAGACAGAATGAAAACAATGCAACCTGGGGTAAATGACACAAAAACAATTTCAAATCACACAGATATATAATTTCCCGTGTGCCTTGAACAGTGAAAGGCAAGTTCTATGGATATGTTAGTAGAACCCAATGCACTAGGCTAACAGGGGCAAAAGCGGAGTAAACTTATGGTGTAATGTGCTTCTCTGATTAAAGTATATCTACTCAGCAAACAAACAAACAAAAAATGTTTCACCATCTCAATAAACTGATTTTTTTCTTACCTCTATCCTCACCATCCAAGTAGCAAAAAGGTGTTTTAATAATCTTACTACAAAGAATATCCACTATTTTTTGAGTATGTATAGGAATTCCAAAGTTAGAGTCAATATCCTTTAACAGTGTACTAATCTTGTGCAAGTAGATTAAATGGCAATGCCAACACACACACACACACACACACACACACACACACACCCCAAACAATCATCTAACTGCTTTACTTCAGATTATAAGACTATATATCTCTTTTCGGCCTTTTGGTTAAGATCAAGTGCAGATTATAAGACTATATAATGATTTTAGAACAGGTTGCTTCGTAAACAGAATATGATAACAGAAAGAAAACAGTGAATATGGTCTACAGACATTTTCAAAACATGTATTGTTCATAGTTTTAGATTTGAAAGAGACTTAATTTTTCATGTTGACCAATAATTACATTTCATTATAAGGAAAGAAGATCTGGTCGTGATGTTATATTGATGAACATTTTTAAAACTCAGATATTTCACTGAAATAATAGGACAATTAATAACAAAGTTTACACCTTTGTTGAGACTGTTCAAACTTCCACATTTCGGTTCATTTGTTTATTTTACTCTTTTAAAAATCCACTTTTATCCTTTTAATGAAAGTTATTGTTTTCATCTGATAATTGATCAAGTTAATCTGATTGGAAAATGTTTATGGAAAATGATCTCGTGGGTCTCTACAAACAGTATTTTAAAGTGACATCACCAGATCACTAGCAGCACCTATTTGGAGAGGCCATGCATTTTCCTCCACTACTAACACCATCTAATTCTAGTGTGTAGACCCTGAGCCCATATCACGCTATTTTTTTCCTCAACAACACTGTTTGATATTTCTTTTCCTCTTGTGGCCTTGCATGTAGGCAGTCGTGCTGCTAACCCTAAGACCACAGTTATCTGGAAGTCTGAATCCACAAGTTACTCCATAGAAGAAAAATGGGCGATCTCCTTCTATGTGATTTATACCTTCAGAAAACCCACTGGAAGCTCAACTGTGAGTCAGTAGTAATGAGAAATGTTTGGAAGGATGGGGGAGTGGAGAAAGAGAGGAAGATCATCAATGAGAAGGATTGATACAGTGACTGGGGTAAGGAGGTTAGGTGTGTTGGAGACAAAAAAGTTGGCCCAGGATAGAGCAGGTTTCAGGGCTGTTGTGTATAGCGTTGCTATGAGTCAGTCACAAGCGACTTAACAGCAATGAGAAATGAGAGAAAGTTTTAAATTTTTTTTGTTTTACGTTATTTTTTTTAATTATACTAGTTCGTTGTCATTGTTAAGTGCAGTTGAGTCAATAGATGACTCATAGCAACCCTATGAACAGAAGACCTGAACACTTGCATAAATCATTTCTCCATGTTCATAGAGTTTCCAGAGGCAAGCTATTTCGGAAGTGGATGTCAATCCTGCTTCCAAACTTATTTTAATTGGGGAGCTACACCAAATACTGTCCATCATGGGTAACCATTATAACACTGACACAACAGTGTCACAGTGTTTAGCATCACAGCAAACACGAGTTACCTCTGTACAGCAAATGGACAGACCAGTGCTATACCACTTAGAAGAATGTTTGAACAATATCAGTTAAAACCAGGCCTGAGGGCTACAGATTAAAATCACTCACCTTTGGCTTGGTAGTATAACTTTCTCTCTACTAAGCCAACAGAGCTCGCTCTATGTTGTTGTTGTTTCTACTTACAAAATTTGAATACATTGTTTTTGTACCAGTTCAACCCCCAGTCATCAAATCGTGCGACCCATTATTAATTTCTCCTCATTCCTCTCCACTTCTTTAGCCCTCTTAAGTTCATAGGAGACACTGGGATCTAGCTTAGTAGACTTAATCTATGGTATAAAGAGACTTCCAAATACAGCCAGAAATACACAATCTGAAGAGGATAAATTTGATAAACGGGACCTTTTAAAGATTAAATCCCTGTGTGCATCAAAAACTTTTTTACCACAAGGTGAAAAGAAAACCTACTGACTCAGAACAAATATTATGTTCAAACACAGTTGAAAAAATTGAGAGGTTATGGGACATTCACACAATGGAATACTAAACAGCACACAGGAGCAATAATTTTGTAAATTATTACCTAATTTGGGAGAGACTGGAGAGCATTATACTAAGTGAACTAACTCAGTCCTAGAAGGTAAATACTGCATAAAAATCAATCTTGTAAAATGAGCCTGAGAATTTAAGAGAGGGGAGGGTGGAAAGAAAGTTTTAAATAACATTGGTTCTCAAATGTCCCAGGTATTTGAACTTGGTTTGGAAGATCCAAGTTCATTCATAAGACAAATATATTCATTCATATGTTAAATTAGTTATGAATAAAACAGCAGGTTACACAATTTCTCTGAAATACATTTCCTTTTCTACTTAATAAATATTATTTAGTATAATTAAAATAATAGTCAATTGGATCGATCAAGAGATTAAATATATTACTTAATAGAATAACTTATGCCTTTGAGACCGCAGTACAATTTCTTACCCCTAGGCCTCCAGAGATCCCTAGATTATTAGTAAACATTATTAAATCCTAATGCTAAAGTTGACTTCTATTATGCATTTAAACAATGTAAAACTTACATTAACAGCTTCATCTTCCGTTAGACTTTCATCTATTGTAACATTGGGCAAATCTGGCCATACCTGTGAAGAGAAAAGAAATAAGGAAAGAGATAAAACAGGTTTAATATGACGTGCCTATATTATGCTAGTGTTTTGGAGATATATTATAGACTGTTGCTGTTAGGCACTGTAGAGTCGAGTACGACTCGTAACAATCCTATGAAGAAAAGGTCTGAGCCCTGTTCTATCCTGTGCTATCCTCATACTTCCTGACACCCAAGAGCCCTTTGCAGCAGTCACTGTGCCAATCCACCTGTTTGAGGGTCTTCTAGTCAATCCACCCGGCCAAGGGTCTTCTAGTCAATCCACTCGGTCGAGGGTCTTCTAGTCAATCCACCTGGTTGAGGGTCTTCTAGTCAATCCACCTAGTCGAGGGTCTTCTAGTAATCCACCTGGTTGAGGGTCTTCTAGTCAATCCACCTGGTCGAGGGTCTTCTAGTCAATCCACTCGGTCGAGGGTCTTCTAGTCAATCCACCTGGTCGAGGGTCTTCTAGTCAATCCACCCGGCCAAGGGCCTTCTAGTCAATCCACCCGGTCAAAGGTCTTCTAGTCAATCCACCTGGTTGAGGGTCTTCTACTCCTTCTCTGATCTTCCACCCTTCCCAGCATCATGTCCTTCTCCTAAGAGTAGCTCCTCTTAGCAACATGCCCAAAGAATGTGCTGAAGCCTCATCATTCTTACCTTCAAAGAGCACTCTGGCTGCACCCTCTCCAAGACATTTCTCTCTGTCCTTTTTGCCACCCATGGGATAGGCAGTGCTTTAGAGCTTTATGATATTTAGATATTATAGCCTGGAGGTCCTCAATTCAGAGATTTTTTTCCTATTATTTATTTTTCAAATGTTATTTGACACTTGTTTACTTTATGAACTATACAAAGAATTGTTTCTAATTTAGATGATTAGTATACATTAAATAACTAAGCAACTCTGCATTCTTTATATCTCTATTTCTCTCTGAATGAAATGTGTTAACAATATAATTATAAACAAATTTTCAATGGAATAATATTTTTTAATTTCTTTGAATTAAGGTATTATCAAAGCTTGAATTTAGTACCTTTGCCCAACAAATATCATTGCTGTTAGGCCATTTGACAAAGACGTCTTTTTCCTGTCCTCTTGTAAATGCTGGGTAAGGCTCGGTTTCATTTCCAGAAATGGCTGGGTCCTAAAATTTAAATACATACCATGTAAATATAAAATAAAAGTGTAGTAACTATAAAACATGATTATTTTTCATTATTATGTGTCATAATATAATGCTCTCACATAGATTGATAAACTACAATAAAAATAATCTTATCAGATCTCTAATTTGATGCACATGAAAATTTTGAGGACTTATGAAGATATAACTATGATTGAAGGTAAGATTGCTAGTGATGTTATTATGGTTTCTTCTTAACTAACTTGCTACGTATAATTTACTGATAAAATTTGTATCACTAACTCAAACATTATGACCAGTATAAGAAGTAATCAGTCCTGGAGTATGATGATTTGAGAAATGTACAGGAGATTGCATCACTAATATTATGTATGGTTTCTCTAAACGGAGACTAGTTTCAAAGCATTTTAGGCTATTACTGAGAACAATTCGCCTTTGATTATCTTTTGTTTTAAGTTTTTAAGGCTGTATCTAAAGTAGAAATACTGCCATCATTAAAAAGGAGAGAAAGAAGGGTTTTTTTGAGAATATGATACAAAGTTGTGTACTTTATATTTTAAAGTGCTATTATTTTGTCATTCTAGGATAGAAATGAAATGAAGAATTACAATTAAACCACAGAAAATTTAAAATACAAATGCTGACCAGTATGATGATGTATTTCATTCCTTGTGCTCTTATTTTATCAACAAACTGAGGAAGGTCACGAAATTCATCACCAATTGTGAAGTCTAGTTGTCTTTCCATGTAATCAATGTCTGTGTATTGAACATCCTGAAATAGATGAGAATTGTAGCAGTCGAGTCAGAGTAACAAAACAGTGAGTTGATACTATTTTTAGGATGAAAGTAATAACAATATGAAAGGTTGAATGTCTTTTCACTGGATCCTAAAGAGTAAATGAAGTAACAGAGTATTCAAGAAATAACAGTTATATGCAAAGGATACAAAAGATTCTAAGAAAATTCAAAGATATATTCTGTTTTTTGCTAACATTTTCTTTTCAATGTTTAATTTAAATTATTCAAAATCATTGTGTTTTGTTGCCTAATTTCCAAAAGAAGCAAGTATAAAGTGATGCATGATCTTATGTTATTAAATGGTAAATAATTATTTTTACTATTAATTAATAAATAAACATTGGCCTCTTTGTAGAGCCACAAAGAAAGTGTAGCATAATTAGAAACTATTAATAATATTGACAAAGGTGGAGAAATAATTATAGGTAGATTCATTTATATGGTCAGATATTTTTTTTTCATTTTCAACCAAAGTAATGTTTGAACTAAAAATCTAAGACTAAGAAATACTTGGTATACTTCAGCGTTGTGCAATTAAAAAATAATCAATTTTAAAAAAAAAGAAATACTTGGTATAGAGTATATTTAAAATCTGCTTAAACAAATTTTAATTTTACCATGAAATTTAAATTTTAGCAAAAATTCATTATTATTTTGTCTTAATATAGATTAGTTCCATTTCTTCCATAATTTTATAAAAATGTTGTTGTTGCTGTTGCTGTTATTATGTGCTGTCGAGTTGCCTGCAACTCAGAGTGACCCTATGTACAACAGCCCTAAACCCTGCTCTATCCTGTGCCAATCTTATTGTCTCTGACACAACCACGCTGATTAACCCAGTCACTGAATCAATCCATTTCATCAAGGGCCTTCCTCTCCTGCGCTGTCTCTTCACCCTCGGAAGCAGACAACTCTCTCCAAGGGCTTGTCCCTCCTTGCAATATGTCCAAAGTACGTCAGATGAAACGTCAGAATCCTTGCCGCCACGGAGCAGCCTAGTCTGACCCTCTGTAGGATGAATCTGTTTGTTCTCCTAGCAGTCCATGGTATAGTCAGTACTCTTCTCCAGCACCACAGCTCAAAGGTATTTCTTTCCCTTCTATCATCCCTAGTCATTGTCCAGTTTTCTGATGCATAGCATGCCATTGCAAAGACTATGGCCTGCGTCGTGCACACCTGAGTCTCCAGACTGACATAATTGCTCTTCAATGAAACGTCTCTGAAAACAGACTTTCCTAATGCAATGTGTCTTTCAATTTCCTGGCTGCTGGTATCAAAAGTGTTGATTTTTGAGCCAAGCAAACTAAAGCTGTTACCAATCTCAATCTCTTCATCATCCATCATGATGCTGCCAATCGGTCCAGTGGTGAGAATTCTTTTCTTGATGTTGAGCTTCAATCCATATTGAAGGCTGCAGTCCTTGATCTTCTGTAGGAAGTGCTTCAGTTACATAGCCACGCTTTATGACACTAGAAATGTCCCATAGTTTTCTTGACTTTAAAACTTTAAAGAAGCTGGTTGGTCTTAGGTTCTATTTCTCACAGTATCTCTGAGTTGAAACCTTTCTTTTGGGAGTCAAGTTCTTAATCATCATGCTGCCAAGACTCCTTTTAGCTCATAAAAAGCACCTTAAGAAAAAACTTCCCTTTGACCATGAATTATAACTTTCATTTTTCTCCATCATCAAATTACAAAATTAATTCTTCCCACAAAAATATGTTCTGTGGAGTAATCTATCGCACATTGTACTACTAATCAAAAGACTGCATTTCTCTTTTTTCTCTCTCCACTTTATTTTTGTTTTATATTGGTTTGCATTAAAAAAAATCTTGTACGTTGTGCATCATTCACGTACGTTGTGTTTTGTCATTTGAACCATCAAGGCTCCATGGGAGGAAAATAAGCAAACTTTTCCTGTTAATATTTATAGTCTAAGATACCCAAATAGAGATTCACTATGAATGGAAATTGACAAAATTACAGCTGAGTATGTTGCTGTTAAGTGCCATCAAGTTGAGGACAATCCTATGAAGAAAAGATCTGAACCCTATTCTATCCTGCGCCATCCTCACACTTCCTGACACACGAGAGCCCATTGCAGCAGTCACCATGTCAATCCACCTAGTAGGAGGCCTTTCCAGACTTCCCAGAATCATGTCCTTCACCAAGGAATAGCACCTTCCAGGAACATGCCCAAAGTATGTAAGGCGAAGTCTTATCATTCTTGCCTCCAAAGAGCACTCCAGTTGCACTCCTTTCAAGACATATATTTTTGTTCTCTTAGCCATCAAGTTGAGTATGGAAGCACATATATAAGATTATTATAAGAAGAACAACTTACTTTCTAATAAATCTTAAAAATCTCTTTGGATCATGAATTTCTGTTTATCTTTCTTCATCATTAAACTAGAATATTCATTTTCCCCATAATAATATGTTTTGTAATCTGTAGTATGTTGTGTTGTTAACCAAAATCTACTTGCTTCTTGTAGTTTGTACCCACACAAGGTTCCACAGGAGGAAACAAATGCAGGGTTACTACGAGGGTCACCATGACAGTGAGTGTGGAAGCGCATTTGGAGTTATATAGAGATTGAGATGTCTTAAATTGAAATTCTCCTGATTTTCCTACAGTGAAGGTATAAATGTCAAACATTTAAGCTTCCATTATGATTAGGGAGTTTTTATATTCATTAGGGAACTCTTGTGGCTTAGAGGTAAGAAATTATTCTGCCACTCCAAAGGGAGATAGTTCAAATCCACCAATCACGCTGTAGAAGAAAGACAGATGATCGCCTCCCATAGGACTTGAAGCCTCTGAGAATCCTCTGGAAGGTCAGTTATGAGTCGGTTTTAACTCAATGTCATCTTGCTAGCACAACAATAACACAACAACATATTCATTACCAAGAGTTCCTGGAAATTTCTATTTTTTTTAATAAAAGCAAAAATTAGGGACTTAGTCTTTTTTGATACTTATTAAATTTGACCCAATAGAGGGAGAATTGATGCCTTTGAGTGATGGTGCTGGAGGAGAGTATTGAATATACCATGTACTGCTAGTTAGGAGAACAAACATCCTAGATGAGGGTGAAACCAGGCTGCTCCTTGGAGGCAAGAATTCTGAAGCTTCATCTGACATACTTTGGATATGTTGCAAGGATCGGTTAGGCCTTGGAGAGGGACATTATGCTTGGGAGGGTGGGAGGATAGAGCAAGAAAGAAAGACCCTCAATGTGATGGATTGATTCAGTGACTGGGGTAATAGGGGTAGGACGTGCCAGAGACAATAAGAATGGCACAGGACAGAGCAGGGTTCAGGGCTGTTGTACGTATGGTCACTATGAGTCCCAAAAGAGTCAGCATCATAAGACAATTACAACAATGAGTGACACAAGTTGAAGAATTCTCTTTTTAACTCAAAAGTTGGTTATTCAAACTCAGCAGTCCTTCACTCATCAGTAAAATCAATGAGCAATCTACTTCCCTAGAGATTTACAGACTTGGAAAACCATTGACAGCTCTACAGTTCCAGTTTCTCCTGGTTGTGTTTTGCTGTGAGCAGAATGAATGTGATGGGAGAAGGTTTGAGGTTTAAGCATAAATGTTTAGTCTCCTGAGCATTGAGGAGAAAAGATACTACATAGACCCTGGATAACAACCATCAGTATTGTTGAAGTAAGACAAAAAGAATTTATTCACATTTCCAATTTGTTCTCCTTAATTTGATACATCAGTTGAAGAAATTTATTTCCCTGGACCATTACCATTAAACAGACAAGGTATGCTGAATGTGTCTGTACAAAGAAAGCTTATTAGATAAAAGCAGGTATATAAATTCACTTGTTTAGATTTAGTCAGATTCATGGACATGGGCAGAAGAAGAAAAAGGAAAAATAGTGTCTCTTCACGAAAGTTCTGAAGTATTATGCAAGTATTCTGAAGTGTTTAACTACTGCATTCTGTTCTTAGAGATGCCATAAAAAAATAGCTGTATTGTTAGTTATACTTACATATGGAATCCTAGCAGCCACCATGTCATTAAACACTTCTTCAACCTGTGAAGTGTTCCTGTACCCATAACGACAGAGTTGGAATCCCAAAGACCAGTAAGGTGGCATAACAGGGTGGCCAATTACCTTTGGAAAACAATGAGTTAGTGTTACTGCTGAACAAAAAGAATACTAATAAAAAGAATTAATAATAAATAAAGCTAAATAGGTATAACTATAGAAAGAAATGTGTAACTGTACTTCATGATACTGCTGTGTTGCAACTTCTGGAGTTGGGCCCAAAAACATATAAAAGTCCAAGATGCCTCCAATTATACGGTAAGTCAGAGCAGGTGTTGGTTGGAAGGTAACGTCTGAAAATTGTAAACAAGATGACATGATGTGTGTGTGTTATTCATTTCTTTTAGAAAAATACATAAAATACCAACAATTCAGCAAGTGACTCAGTTACCCATTGCATTGCTGTTGAGCAAGAGGACGCTATGGGCATTCCCTTCATTCTCCAGGGCCATGTAATAGGGATGGAATCCATAGGAATTGAGTTTATACTGAAATTTTCAAAAAAAGAAAAAAAATTAGAAACAGAATATATATTTAAGCAATATTTTTCCACTCAAACTATGTGTGAATTAAAAATAGATACATGTTATTCTTGTGTGTGTGTGTGTGTGTATATATATAAATTTTAATGAAACTTTACAGAGACTTAGGGTTTCCAGTCATTCATTGTTGCACTTTTCTCCCTGCCCACCTCCTCCCTCCTAAATTCACTCTTCTCCTTGAAAAGTAAAAGATAGACTCTTTCATTGTTATGCAAACCCTCCCCCCAAGTCCACTGCACTGTGCAGCCATCACTCTGGACTCCTGTCATGACAATAATACCTAATCATATATCCCTTGTAAACAGTTCTCTCCATCTGTTTCAATGCAGGATACATCATTCCTCCCCTCCTTCTCTGTCTTTCCTCAACCCTGATGTCAGTCCCATACATATGTTATTCTTAGCAAATAATTTCTCCTTTGCTTAAATTGTTTTCTGCTTTGAAGTATCCATATCTATCAAACACAAATATGGGAAGCCAAACTTTATACCAAATATTATATGAAAACCCTTGTTCAGGAATTGAAGAAATTACAGATATATAAGTTAGGATTTCTCTTATGGCAGATTCTAGATGAGCTGTTTGTTCCCTGCAAAACAGGAAACAGCAAGGGGCCCCCTACAGAGGGAGTGTTACTTCCTGGGCTGGAGTTCACCCTGAGGCATCAAGGTTAATAATAGTTAAGGGTAAACAAAATTCTTGCATCTGTGAACCTCTCCCTCCTGAGTCAAGCAGAAGGTTTTCAATGAAAAGAGATTGGCTTCATTTGCACTGAATTCTTTTTGTAACTTCCTGTTGGTTTTGAATAAAAGGACAGAGAAGCTTGGCTTGAGGTCTTCAGTGGAGAACTGCTGGCCCCCTGTTTTATGCTCTCTGCTCTATCTCATTCCTGGCTGTTTGTCTCTTTATTAATAATTATAAAATTATTCTATTCTTTGGGACTCTTGGTCTGCAACAACAAAACTCCACCTTCCCTGATGTAAAAAAAAAGATTAGTTTTCTGTTACTACTTTTTAAAACATGTTACAGGTTTTATTTATAAATTAGCACTTAATTTTCAACAAAAATAGTAAATCATTTTTAAAATTACTAAAGTGATAAAAGTTTACTCATAAACTTACGTATTTCATAGGGTTGCTATGATTTGCAGTTGGTGATACAAAACAACAAAGTATTTAATTTCGTTATCAGTTACATCTTTTCCTGAATAATAAACCTACATTCTGGGTCCTGACAAGTCTTACTGAAGGTAATAAACATATATTAATGATCTGCAAATAAACAGATGCCTTTTCACCCACCCTTGAGTGATTTAAAGGAATTTGAAAGCATTTAAAGGAAGTTTTATATAATGAGAAGCATGCTTATTTTAACCTAAGGCGTAACAATACTAATTTTTAAAGGGTCCCTACGTGGCAAATTTTGCTAAAATATATGCTTTCAAACCTTCAAAAGCCCAAATTTGAGCAAGTATCCTAAAAATAAAAAGTTATTTAAGCACCTAAAAGAATTTAAAAAGTTTCTAATAGTTCACAGATTTATAACATTCGACTGAGTTTGTCTCTGTCTCATAGGGCAAGTGTACAAGATGGAAATGAGCTGGTTTCTTGAATTGTTTTCACTAAATATGCTTTTGCATGGTATATTTGAGGCAATTTTAGTTATTATTATTCTTCACAGCATTAAAAATTCATTAAATGAGTTTATTAATAAGACAAAGCTTTGGGAAAAGTGACGGTGTTGTTGTTGTTATGTGCCGTCAAGTCACCTGCAACCCATAGTGACCCTTCGTGCAACAGTGTTAAATCCTGCTCTACCCTGTGCCAATCTTATTGATTCTGACACACTTAGCCCCCGTTACCCCCCAGTCACTAAATCAATCCATATCATCAAGGATAGGGGACTATAAAAATATTTTCTAAAGATGTACGTTAGCAGTATGGCCTTAAAAAAAAAACCCCAAAATCCAAGATCACAGCTGTGGGTGATGAAGGACTAAGTCAACACAATTATCTAAGAAGTTGAACATTTTCAAGAAGCCTAAATATTTTTGTTTCTGTCCTTAAATTATTATTTTGGTTTGATTACAAAGTCCATATGTATAGTGTTTTACACTATCCTTCACTCACCTTGTAGTGCTTTTGTTTTGGGGTGGGGTGTGAGTGTGTGTGTGTGTGGGTGTGGGTGTGGGTGTACCATGAAACTGGATCTGACTGGTGCAGGAGGAGATTGCCCCTCCTTCTCCAGCAGAGCATCTGGTGGATTTGACACCTTGTATTTTATACAATCATTCCCATTCATTATATTTTTGTTGGTTTTTTTCCCCTTCTTTTTTCCCTTTCTTATATTTATTGTGGGGTTTTATTCCCTACTAGTTTGTTTACAAAATAATCATCATTGGACTATACTCACCATTACCCTGTCTTTTCAGATCCCATTTCCTTTACCCCCTTCCCTTCCCCCCACCCCAAATTGTGCAATTCTGTGATTTCGCCCCACTCATCCTCACTTCTCTGCTCCCACCCCTTCCTCTCAGAGACTAAAGGCCCCCAGCCTTGCAGGGAAAACTGAATTAGCTTCCCCTGTGTGCACTTGAGAAAGTTAAGAGTTTAGGTAACAAAGTTGCTTTTCTTACTCTAGTCAAGTAAGCTGTTATTCATCCACTTCTCTTCATGTATCTATAATTTCTCTTGACCCTGTCTGCACTCTGAGAGACACTGGATCCTCCCTGAAGAGTCTTAGTTTTCTAAAGCCCCTTTTCGAAGCACTTCAGTTCAGAATTATAGGTCAACAAAGAAAGGATTTAGCATTTAATCATAGTCTAATCTCTTGTTTTATCAGGTAGTTAAGTGCTACTCACACCAGGAGGTTGATCTCTTGTGAACATTCCCCACGTATGCCAGTTCAGGTCTCGCTTAAATGCAGTGTGTTCCACTTCTCCAAATCCATATATATATTCTGATGGCAGACGAGTGGATATTTGAATGAACTGGTCATTAAAAGTAAATCCAGGTAGATGAGAATCCCAACTAGAAACAAAAACAGTTCTATTTTTGTAAAAATATACACAAAATTGTGTTACAAGTAATAAGTTTAATTATTTGTTAAATATTCTAAAAGTTGATATTTTTTTTCGATGTATACTTTATTGTATTCAGCTGTCAAGTGGAAAGAATGATAATATATTTAATATTTTGCTCAACTCTATGTGTAATATAGCCAGC